AGATCTCTGCCTCCTGAGTAGCTAGGGTTACTCATGGGAGCCACCAGTGCCTCGCTCAGTCTGTTTTTTGTTTTTTGTTTTTAATATATTTTTACTGTAAAGATACTGTACAAAGGGGTTATAGTTACATGAGTAAGGTAATAAGTACATTTTTTGTTTTTTTTTTTTAAATTTTATTTTTATTTTAAAGGTGATATACGGGGGGGGGGGCTACTGTTACCTAGTAAGGTAATGAGTACATTTCTTGTTGAACATTGTTATCTCTTCCCTAGCTTTCTCCCACTTTCCTTCCCTCCCACTCTCCTCCTCCACAAGTTGTAAAGTTCACTTCCAATGTAGTGTCTTGTGAGTATCGCTGTTGTATTGGTTCACCCATGGTCCTTTGTCGCACCATTTTGTTATTTTCTTTCCCTTTCCCAAATCAGATAAACATATATACAAGACACAGGGTACACAAATCAAAAGCAGTGACCGTAATGGATAAAACAAAGGGAAAGAAAAATGAAAGAAAAAAATAATTTCACACAGCACGTTAAAAAACCCTCTTGTTTCCATATCTTGGAGTTAATTTTGATTAGTATCATTTTATTCGGTCATATGTACATAGCTATTGAGCTATTGTGATCCTCTGCTAGGACTATCACAGACATATACTAATTATTACAAATGAGGGAAACCATGGAGCCTATGTTTGGGTCTGGCTTACTTCACTTAACATGATTTTTTTCCCCCAAGTCTTTCCATCTTCTTACAAATGGGGTGATGTCATTCTTTCTGATTGAAGCATAGGATTCCATTGTGTATATACTACATTTTCTTGATCCATTCATCCATTGAGGGTCATCTGGGTTGGCTTCATATCTTAGCTATTGTAAACAATGCTGTAATGAACATGGTGCTGTGAGCTTTAGTGTGGCCTTGTTTGTGATTGCTTAGATAAATGCCCAGGAGTGGGATTGCTCAGCTGGGGGTTCTTGAAGGTGGGACAGGCCATCCCATACCAGCCACTGCCAGCCAAGAGACACGGAGGTGGCTGTGTTGGGTAGTCAAGTGGGCTCTTGGAGGAGGACCTTGCCATGGACCTGCGTGGCTCATGGTCTTGCCACTGGCCTGGAATAACAGGTGCCATGGAGCCAGCGGCAGGGCAGGACCACTCCTGACCTTGTCCCTGCCACTTCTGTGGCCCACCTGGGTGGCCACCTGGGCTGCAACTTGTCTCATGAAGCCTGCCCTTAGGACAACAGCATCCTGGATCCACAGCTGTGAATTTGCACCTTGGACACAGCTGTCTGTTTTCTTTGGAGAGCCAGGCTTTTGGATGGGGCCAGGATCTTGAGCAGGATAGAACTCTGAGCTGGTCAAGGGAGATCACCAGCCTTTGTAGAAGGTGATTTTTACTATTTGTGGGAAATTGGACTTTCCCTCCTCTTCTCCATCCTTGGAACTTTGTTCAGTGCCAAGGACCTATAACTCTGGAATATTCTCTACATCTAGGCAAAGTTTGTCTAGGCAAAACCTTTTTGTTGTTGTTGTTGTTGCCGCTCGTTACATTTGAGAATCAGAAGGCAAATGCTCAAGGTCTGTGTGTTTTTCTCTGTCAGTGCCTCTTCCAGTTCAAAAAGGAATTCTTGGTCAGCCATGGATCCTCAAAGCAGTGATATATTGACAACAGTTTGGGTAGAAGAGAATGGTGGATGCTGGTGTGTGTCTGCTGATTAGCAATATGTATAGCTTTTCAACTGTGCATCTTCTCTGTAATGCTTGCCCATGGGCTGTGAAAGCCAGGAAGCATTTGCCAGAGAGATTTTCTTAATTGTACTGAGTTGCAGCTCTGCTTGGCTGCTAGGCCGGGTACTGACACTTGTCCAGGACCAGAAGCTGAAGCCTAACAGAAGGGACTATTAAAGCAATTCAGGGTTCAGAGAACCAATATAGGGAGCTGAAGCACGCTGGGGCCAGCAGAGTGGGCCTGGATAGAGAAGAGGAGGGAGGATTATAGAACCTGGCCAGGACTGGAGGGATGGGCAAAGCCATGGCCTAGGACAGAGGAACTGGGCCTCTGCCAATATCACCTGGAAGGGAAGGGGCGTAGGGAACCAACTTCCTTACTTCTCCCCGCTTCCCCTCTTCCAGGTCGCTGGTGTGTAGTGTTGGCCAAAGCTGCCTGAAATCCAGAGGACCTGGGAGGCCAGCCCTGCGGATGCAGAGTGGGGAGAGAGGGAGGAGTGAAGGGCCAGTAGGATCTGGCTATGCTAACTCTCATGGTCTCTCTTCTCCCTGTTAGGTGCCCTGGGGAGAGAGGCACTGGGGGTTAGATCAGCTCAGACTGAAGCAGAAACAGGAGATTCTGAGACTTCAGTCTCATCCTCATTTTCAAGATAAGTAAACCACGTGGTGTGTTTCCAAGGGAACCCAGGTAATGATGGCTGTACCATTGTGCTGTAAATGACCGAGAGTCTGGGACTTGAGTGAGCTGTCCTCTCTGACGGTTCTTAGGGGACATTCCTGCCTGGGCGTGGGTGCTCCTGTGGATGGGAGCTCTCCTTGGGTGTTTTACAAATCATCAGAGGAGTTCAAAGAACACGGAATGTGTGTGGTTTTTCCAAGTGTATTCCAGCCCAGTAGAACACGGTTCCTGATGTTCTGATGGACTCCTGTGGATTGTCTGGTTTAGCGCCCACAACTCTCAAGGGTTGCTCCTCTGAGTGCAGTGATCCGCCAGGGCCTTGCCTGCAGGGGTCAGCAATGTGGAGTCTCTGTACTTTCAGAAGGGTCACAGTGGACCTTTTCGGGAGTCTTGCTTTTGGTGAAGGTCTGAGCAGTGCTTCTGAGTTAGCCGTGCCTGAGATCTACATCGATCCTTGAAGGGACCCATCTCCTTCCTGGCACAGGTCCAAGTTTGCCCCAAGAAACATTTGAGTGCCACACTCACACCTTCTGAGACATGGGAACAGAGGTTCCTGGGGAAATCAGAAACTCATCAGGCTGGAAAGTTCTCTTCAGTGTCTCACCGATTTTCTTCCTGTGTGACTAAGCCTGGTGTAGTGCAGTGAGAACAGAGTCATCTCTTGGCATGTGCTCGGTGGCCAACACAGCCTTCTTCGTGTAGAACAGGGAACAGCGGGAAGCGTCTCAGCGGGTCCAACTGCCGTCTGGGCACTAGCTGTGAGTGCCTGGATTCTAGCCAGCTGCAAGGACTGGGGTGCCATCTGTGTGGGCTGAGTTGTCGGTCAGTTGTTTGCATCTACGTGCCAGCTGTGCACATTGGAGTGCCAGCCAGATGTGGGCATTGGGTTCCAGTGGTGTGGGCTGGATTGCCAGCCAGCTGTGTAAATGAGGTTCTAGCTGTGTTGGAGGATGACAGCCTTTGTGGATTAAAGTGCCAGCCAGATGGGGGGACCTACCTACTAACTGGGTTGACTTGGGGTGCTAGCCAAGTATGGGAACAGGAGGGAAAGGCCGGGAACTTTGATGGCCAGCTGGAGGTATAAAGGTTGTCAGTCTAGCTGCATGGATTTCAATGCCAGCTAATTGTATAGACCCAAGGCCAGCCTCAGTATGGACTAGGGTGCCACGTGTGGGAACAGGGTGCCAGCACAGATCATGTTGAGAATGGAGGTCGTGTTAGCTGTCCTGCTTATACAATCTGTAAATTACAGTCACAGAGCCAACTGACTACCTAGTGGCTTTTGCTGTGGAATTGAAGACACTGTTCCTTCATAGGAAGAAAATAAAAACACCCTGAAGAATAATAAACCATAATTAAGAATGGGCCAGATCTTTCAGAATCAGATTTTCAAGGGAAGAAAGACTATTTGTGTCAAGGTGTTTATTTGTCCCACAAACATTTGTTGGATGATTTGGGGGGGGGGGAGGGAGGAAGAGCACTGTATGAATAATCTTACGAAAGAGGTGGCCGGGGCTCACGGCAAAGTGCCCATGTTCTTTCAGTGTTAGTTACTTTCCGTGGATGAAGAATCCATGGATGAGGCCATGAGAAGCCTTCCCTTCCCTCTTCCCTCAGTGGGGTTGAGGGGCCCTACTGTTAGAGCTGGGTTCATTAAGTAGTCCCTAGCTCAGTGAGCTCCACACCTTCTCTAAAATGTCCTCCTCTTTCCAGCCACATCCTTGATGTTTACCATGTTGTCTTTGGGGAAGAGCATTTGATGGTGGGACAAAGGTGGATCAGTTCATATGATCTTTAAAAGAAAGCTGTGGGAGGATGCACACATTCATGCATACACAATCCTCCTTGTTCCTCAGAGCTCTGAATCTGTGGATATTACTGAGCCCTGTGAATACTATATCTCTTATCTTTCTTTTTTAAAAAAACAATATATATTATTTTTTAAATTTTATGTTTTTGGTCGGTCATGGGGCTTGAACTCTGGGCTTGGGCGCTGTCCCTGGGTTCTACAGCTCAAGGCGAGCGCTCTAGTACTTGAGCCACAGCGCTACTTCCTGAGTTTTATTTTATTGTAAAGATGCCGTACAGAGGGGTTACAGTTACATGAGTAAGGCAATGAGTACATTTCTTGTTGAGCATTGCTCTCTCTTCCCTTGTTGCTTTATTATCTCTTCCCTCCCCACCTCCTCTCCAGAAGTGGTAAAGAAAAATATTTATATTTAAATATTTTATATTATATTAAATGTTTTATATTTAAAATGTTTTTATTATCTTTAAGTAGTTGTACAAAGGAGCTGCCATTCAACAAAGCAGTTTATGAATACAGTGTGTCTTGATCAATGCCACCCCTTAACAATCTCACTCATCCCTCCCAACCCACCCCTTCTCTCATTATTCTTAATTTGGTAGGGTATGTATTAGACATTTTTTTGCCATTTAATCAAGCAGTTTATACATACAATGCACCTTGATCTACATCACTTCCTTCAACATTTTCACCTCCTTTCAATCCACCCTTTCCCAAATTTTTCTTAATTTTGTGGCATATACAATGAATTCCTTTTCATTTTTATTTTTATTTATTTATTTTTACGCGTGTCCCGGCGCTTGAGGATAGAACCGGCATGCGAGAAGCTGCCGGCACCGAAGACATGACGCCGAGAGGGCTCGAGACCTTTCCTTCTGCTTCTGTACATAATGGAGATCAGGACTGCATGCCCGGTCCCCGCCAAGAAATGGAGGGCTATACAATGAATTCTTGACTGTATTCTCCTCCTTCCCCCTTCATTTGTCTACCCCCATGGTGCCACCCCCTTCTTACAAGTGCCCATTTCCTAGCACTTATTTGACTTAATCTTTCTAAAGAATTATACCATGTGAGCTCTCCATAGAGTCTACTATCTTTCAGCTAATTCATTTGTAACTGTCTGCATACCTCCTGGTGTGTTTACTTATAGATTTATAGGCACATTCTAGCTACCACAAATGAGGAAAACCATGCAACCTTTGTTTCTCTGGATCTGCCTTACTTCACTTACATAATTTTCCCCAAGCCTTTCCAATTCCTTATGAATGGTACACTATCATTCTTTCTAGTAGATGAGTAAAATTCCATGGTGCATATATACCATGTTTTCTCGATCCATTTGTCCATTGAGGGGCATCTAGGCTGATTTCTTAGTGTTAGTTTTCTGTATGTGTATAAAGTTTAATGTGCAAGTCAGGCACAGAAAGAGATCAACAATAATAACCCACAATACCTCCTGTACAGTAACAACCATCACAATGATAAATAATTCTAAGGTCTCAGAGTCAGCTTGCTGATGGTTAAGTCCCCACCCCATGTCCACCTGTTTACAAAAATATGTTACTATTTCCCAATACTGTTTTTCCAGTGTCACAAACATATTCCCGTCCCAGTTGCAACAGTCTCATTACACTCCTTCTCAGAATGTGACTCTCCCTCCAATTCCTGTAGTCCAGGTAACACCTCTTCTCGGACTGACCCTACCCCCCAAATTCCCATGCTGTATGTAATGTGACCCCTGTGACTGCCATGTGACCCATGTGACTGCCCCCTGAAATTTTGCTTAAATTCAGCCCACACCTGTCCATGGCTGCTGCCTCCCTTCCTGCTTGGAGTAGCCCAGCAGGTCTGTCCCCCAGTAAAGCCTTGAGATTGTATTGGTTGCTCTTGCTTGCCTCTCATTTCTTACATCCTGATGCCGAAACTGGGGAGGAGTGGTTTGGATTTGGATGATCCCCCTATAGGGGTTTGATTGGCCTCTGGCCCTCCTCCTCAACCTCCTTGGAGCAAGCAACCTTTACTCTCCTCGGCCAGTGATTTCAGACTTCTTTCTACATGCCTGCCTCACGATTGGATCTGCAAGGGTGAGCATTGACCTCCTGTCTCTACGAGCCTCCCTATCTACTTTCATTTTGTTCACAAATAACCAGGTGCCAGGCTGGGGAACACTGCTGCTGACCTGTCTCATGGGTGATGATCCCTTAAGGCATTGTCCTACTCTACTAGGAATTCTCCTGTGCTCCCAGGGACACCTAGAGCAACAGAAAATTCCTCTACTGGGATCTCAATTGCCACACTCTGCCTAAAATGTGTACCTCTCAATCTAAACTGACTCAGAACACCCCTTTGGGCTGTCTCTTGGCTAATCTCCATGAATTAGGTCTCTCAGATGTTATTAAACCCAAGACTAATTTTCTATTGTAATGTGGAATGGCCTTAATACCAACTGGACAATGGGTCTTGATGTCTTGAAAATGGTCCCTTCACCTTTAATATCCTCACAGACCTGGATAACTTCTGTCACTGAAGTGGCAAGGCTGGAGAAATCCCTTATGCTCAGGCTTTTTTTCTGCCCTTCTCCTTGACACAGACCTGCCTTTCCATCCTGCTGGCCATTTTCCATCTTCCACATTCCCTACCCAACTCCACATCTCGATCTCTTCCTCCTTCTCTACCACCTTATCAATGCCCGCCTTCTTCTATTCCCTCTACCTCTTCACTACCACTTCTCTCTTTACCTCACACCCGTTCCTGCACTGCCCATCAACCAACTGCTGTGGCACCAGCCCACCTCTTTCCCTGGCTGGCTCTGAAGGCATTGTTCATGTTCACATTCCTTTCTCCTTCTCTAGCTTGTCTAAAATAAAAGTTTAAATACTTTAATCAAAAACCTGTTGGTCAGAAAGCAGTACCTCACTCTTACCCAGGGTGAAATTACCAGCTTTCTCACCCCCACCAGACCCTTAGGGATAACATGGTCTTCTACTTGACTGGACTGTCCGTAAGTCTATCAACTACAAATTGAGGGAGGTAATTCAGTGTCCCAATGAGACTCCCAGTAAATTTTTGAGCTGTTTGACAGCTCACTGCTTCACCCACACTGACCCATCCATTCTTGCGGGCATGGCTCCCTTCCATTCCCACTTTATTTCTCAGTCCTCCCCTGATAGGAGAAAAAAATAAAATAGCTTAAGGATGGCCCAATATCCTCAGTGGGGATTCCTTCCTCTACATCCTTACAGACCCCTTTCTCTACTTCTCCCCCTCCACCTCCACATCAGACTCCTTTTACATATATAAAGCCAAAATGACTCATTTTTTTTTATTGCAATTAAGTCTGGCCACCTTACAATGTTCTCAGAGATTTGGGAAATTACTGCCAGCACAATGGTAAATGATCAGGGGTTCCATACATTAAGCTTTCTTGGCTCTCCTTGCTCATCCTTCTCTCTGTCTCTGTCTCTCTCTGTCTCTGTCTCTCTCTCTAAGCAAATTCCCGCTGTTAACCTTCATCCCATGCCTGCCAGGCCTGTGTAGCTGACACAAAGATGGGGATGGGCATAAGCCAACTTCTTTCTCTCTTTCTCTCTCTCTCTAGCATTGAACATGTAGTTCTATCATGCAATGGGCAAAATGTCTTTTGCCACTGGAATTCCAAAAAAAAAAAAAAACAACTTATGGCCAACTTTCATTTTTAAAACCCAAGCATGCTTTAAAACTTTTTGTGCACAGTGTATGCGTGTACATAAAAACTGTTATAGTGTAAGAAAAAGTCTTCTATTAAACTAAAGTGTTTTTGTTTCTTTTTTTTTTGTTGGTTGTGGGGCCTGAACTCTGGGCCTGGGCACTGTCTCTCAGCTCTTCAGCTCAAGCTGACTTGAGCCACAGCACCACTTCCATCTTTTCTGCTTATGTGGTGCTGAAGAATCGAACCCAGGGCCTCACACATGCAAGGCAAGCGCTCTACCACTGAGCCATCTTCCCAGCCCTGTAACTAAAGTGTTTTTGCCTTCAATATTTAATATTTTTTTTAGTTCTGACATTTCCTTAAATTATTTGCTTTTTGACTTCAAATGTAACTATTATCGGTGCTGCTTATGACAAAAATTAGGGAATAGCCCTCTTGGTATATTATACTTAAAATGTGAGCCTAACTCCTTGACAAGGAGGAAGGATGGTTTGGATTGGGATAAAAGCCTAGCAAACTTCTTTGCCCCAGCAGCCTGGCTCTGGGTAGTATAACAGTAAATTGCCTTAAGGAGAGTCATTGTACAGTTCTGAGGTAACCAAGACTTAATTGGCTCCCCAGGCCAAAAAAAAGAGCCAGTTTTAAACTCAAACCACAAGAAATTTATCAGATTTGGGTGCAAACAAATGTGTGTAATATGTCTATTTCCCAAGTATGTAAGCCATCCTGGACACAGAGTTGACAGTGGTTTAAATCTTTAGTATCCTAAAGTGCTATTTCCAGTTAATTAGTTGCTGTTTCAAAACTCTCATTATGATCACTATTGAGGGGTTTTTTTTTTTTTGGTTGTGGGGTCTGAACTCTGGGCCTGGGTGCTATCCCTCTCATCTCTTCAGCTCAAGGCTAGCGCTCTACTACTTGAGCCACAGCGCCACTTCTGTCTTTTTCTGTTTAGTTGGTGCTGAGGAATTGAACCCAGGCCTCATGCATGCTAGGCAAGCACTGAGCTACCTTCCCAGCCCATAATATTGAGTTTTGTTATTACAGATTTGATCCTCTGCAGCATTTTCAGTCAGACTCATAGAGGGATAAATAATTCTTACAAATATTTATTGGTCAAACTTCAATTCTTAACAAGTTGCATCTAGATACTGCTTCAGAACTATTCTATCTGTCTCCTTGTTGCTTCACTTGGAAATAATAAAAGGGACTACTGACAAAAACTCTCATTTAATTTGTCAGTCACTGCCCACTCCCCAACGTGGGACATACCATCAGTCATCTGGGACATGCCATCCCACAATGAGCAAACATGCCACGTGAAACATCATCCAGCAAGAAGAGACCTCCTAGACCGACTAGGACAGAGCTAGCCTGTTGATGAGGGTCCACCCAGAGGCAGTTGGGAAAAACTGCACAGATAAGAGGGGATGGTGACAGATCCTAAATGGAGTCACTTTGTGTTTGTCCTGTCAAAATTAACCAGAGCCAGGAGGTTAAGAGAAAATATTTCATGATCAGGCCTATCTAATCCATAAACTGGTTTATCTTTTAACTGGTAGGTATTTATATCTATTACTTGCTATTTCTTTCTTTCTTTTTCTTTTCTTTTCTTTTTGGTGGTCATGGGGCTTGAACTCTGGGCCTGGGTGCTGTCCCTCAGCTCTTCACTCAAGGTTAGCCACAGTGCCATTTCCAGTTTTCTGGTGGTTTATTGGAGATAAGAGTCTCACAGAAACTTTCCTACCCAGGCTGGTTTTGAACTGTGACTCTCAGATCTCAGCCTCCTGAGTAGCTAGAATTACAGGCATGAGCCACTGGTGCCTGGCGATTACTTGCTATTTCTATTTATAGTGGGTCTTCCATCCATATCAGGCCTCCCACTGGGCCATTAACCACTTCAATCTAGCCCTAGCTTCTGACTGGTTATTCTTAACCAGTCCACCATGCTCTCCCCTACCCAGTCAGCAGATGGTAATCAGTCAGGAGTAGTTAGGGATATAACCCACCAATTCCAGGATCACTTGGAACACAGGAGACAGGAGCTAGACAAGTCATTCAACTTTTTTTCCACCCTAAACAGATGGCTTCCCTCCCATCTGCTGTTTGTAGGTCCTCTAATAATGTTTTTTTCTTTTCTTATTGTTTGGCCCCTGCCTCAAAAGATTTCTTTCAGATTTCATCTGAAGAGGTGTGCACACATTCATCACCAAGGAGCTCTTTCTGGTCCCTTCTTGTGGACCTGAA